CAGCTGAATCAATTCTGCCTGAAGATTCATAACTCTGCAGTGCAATTTACAATTTTTATTCCAACTGCATACATCATATCTTTGTCTTTTAGAGTTAATTGTTATCCTACAAAACTCTGTCTTCAGCAATTACTTTCCAAAGTGTGCTCAGAGAACAGGGCACACACCAGCATCCTGTACAGGGGAAGTCCCATCGTACCTAGTTAACACCTACAGAGTGATGATCTAAGAATATTAAGCCACAGGATTCTTCTGTAAATTGTGATCCCCTATGGAAATCACACTGCCTGGGAGGCAAGAGTAGCTACAAGAAAATTCTGCTCTCAAACATCCTCCAGAGGAGCTACTGCCTCACTGAGAAGGGCTTCTTTCCCCCTTGCCCTTTGGAAATGCACACAGAAATGTGGGGGGTAGGGAACATGATCACCTGCCCTTCAGTGGCTTCCTCAGGGATTAAGGAGAATAACAAGAATTTTTACAGATGAAGTAGTAGAAAATTAAACTTCAAGGCAGCAAGGGTACTAATAAGGAACATAATAGTTTGGAACTAACTAAGCTATTCTATGGTTCTTTTATTCTTAACTGCTGTGAGTAAATTTTAAAAAGGCAGCTTGAAATACCTAGGATTTGGGTATTTTTTAAAAATTGATACAGTATCCCAGAAAATCTAACTTGTATTAACTTAAAACCTTCTTGGTTATAGAGACAAATGGCACATGCAGTGAAATATATCTCAAGGACTTTTAACAAAGATTAAACACACTAAACGGTGATTTCCAAAGTCTTGGAGAAAAGGCAAAGGGCTGCTACAAAAGTCAGGGAAAAGGAACAATGTAACTTAATGTTTTTATTGGAGAGCCAATGAGAAATACATGGAATAGTAAATATGTTCGCAGGTCTAAAGAGAAAAGATTTAAAACATCAGAGTGCACAAGCAAATAAAATTATTTAGATACTAGAACACAGACAGCTAACAAAATGCAGCCCATTACATCACCATGAACTACCTGTAGACAGTTATGTGGCATGTAAGGTTTATTTAATATGGGAGGAAGAAAAGCACTCTCTCCACCTGAAGACCTGTCAAATAGACAGCATTGTGGACAGAGCAGTCCTGTGACACGGTGCCTCCCCTGCCAGATAAGTATTAATCACCCACTCTTGCTTTATCTATAAACACAGGGCTCAGGACTTCCCTGAATTAATCCTTGTTTGGACTGCATAGGGGATTGGATGGGCTAAGAACATCACGAGCCATCACGGTTTTTTTCCTCTGTTATCACAAGGAACAATATCGCAAATATTCTGAACTCCTTCTAAAACAACTTTCTTTCAGTGTTTGCCTTCTGCTGGACCATATTTCCAGAATCTCATACTCACAAGTTATGTTCAACATAAATTATATTTTTTGATTACATGCAGTGATCCCTTTGGTAAAACTGCCTTTTAGCACAAATCTCTGTCTTCTCTCTGTCTACTCCCTTGTGAACTCCAAGCCAGCAGTAATACCTGCAATTACCCTTCATTTTGCTAAACCACCCAAGTTCTTTCAGTCTTAGAAAACGAGTTCTCTGTGACCCTTAATCATCCAGATAGTCTGAATTAATTTTCTGCAAGCATCAGTAAGTGAGACTTGCATGGTGCTCCAGGGGAAGCTCACTCGCTCGTTGCACGGGGGCACAAGCACTTTGCTGTCTCTGGGGCAGCCAGGAATCCTACAGGCCTCTTCCACAGCCTTGTCAGATACCATGAGACCAGCAATATAAATACCACAGGTTTTGTCCTTTTTTATTTTCCAGAGGATTGAACCTGATATACTGAGAATTTTTTTTTTTCACTAATAATATTGATTTTCAGTTAAACAGCAATCAGGTACCCACTTTCTGATTAAATCAGTGTTTACATCAGTTTTACATCCTCCCAGAGTCATGAAATGTTGGGCCAAATAGCTCACAGAACCTGAAAGTATGTTACAGTGTCAAATATTATCAGCCTAGTCTTTTGATCAGCTTAAGCATCAGCTAATCAGCAAAAACTGACTCCCAAACGACCGTGTAGCTTGACATTAACTGTATTGTTCTAATTTAATTCTCTATCAAGAGGGTTCTGCATCAGTCACTCCATCTCTTTTCTTAGGAATAGAGATAAATGGATAGGCCTATATTGCCATAGCATTCAGACATCTGGACCTCAACCAGTGTTTTATAGATGACCAGCAACCATTGTTCATATTAAGAGAGCTCCTTTATCAGCCCTGTCCAAGCTGGGGTTGCTGGGTATTGACAACTGATATAGAAGCTTTAGCAGATGTGACTCAGCACTCCCCTGAGACATAGTGGAGTGGAAAGGATTTATTGCATGATTAGCATATTAATACAGTCCTGCTTTTTCCCAAATACACAATACAATATTGACTGTTCCTGCCTTATTTTCTCTCTCTTTTTTTTTTTTTTTTTTTTTTTTTTTTTTTTTTTTTTTTTTTTTTTTTTTTTTTTTTTTTTTTTTTTTTTTTTTTTTTTTTTTTTTTTTTTTTTTTTTTTTTTTTTTTTTTTTTTTTTTTTTTTTTTTTTTTTTTTTTTTTTTTTTTTTTTTTTTTTTTTTTTTTTTGGTGATACCTTCATTTCTGTTCACTTAGGTGTAAGCTCTTCTTGTCCTCCTGTGTTTCAAAAATGCATAGCTGTTGTCTGCAAGACTGTAGACCACATATTGGTCCCTTGATCCATTTGCTTTCTTATCGCTTTTCTTCTTATCACTCTTCTGCAATTTATATTATTATCAGCTTCTTCTTTCTCACATTTGTTCTATATTTTTTATACTTCTATCAGTTTTCCTTTAAGCCAAGCTGATTTTCCAATCTTCCAATCAAAATAATTCTCTTTTTCTGTAACAGACTTTTTTAGTGCTCCTAAACAGTGTACAGTCTTTCTGCTTAAATTCTTCCTTGCAGAGATTTGATACAGAATTTGTTTCAGGTTATGAAATTAGCCCTTAGGAAGGACTACCTATATTTAAAATATTTGGTATCACCTTGGAATGCAATCCACTAGAAAAAATGTTCCAAAATACTTTTAACCTCGGCAGATAGATAAGTTATATGGAGTGAAAAACTAACAGTCTTTTCCAATTTTGAATTAATAAGCCCACAGCTGGAATATTGTATATAGTTCAGAGTACATCCATACTGGACATCTGAAAAGACTTGAGGGAGGAAAAAACGTATAAATCAGGACTGAGAGCATTTTTTAAGAATGCTTTAAATAATGAAATGGTTTTAACTAACTGACAAGTGGAAAAGGAGAGTAATCAAACCAGGGTCTATACGTACTTTTAGGGAGATACATTGCTTCTAGGATTTAAGTAGAATATGGGGAAGAGGGAAGGCAGAGGAAAAAATTACAGAGGTATATTGGATGAGAGGGCAGGGAGTTGCTTGGTTCGTTTAGGTTCAATTAAGATTTTATATACCACTTATACATGGAACAGATTTTCTTCAGCATGGAGGATGTGGAGAAGATGAGCAAAGAGACATTTCATATTCTTCTGTCCCTGTTTTTGTATTCCCATTTTACTCCTTTTAGTCACTGGCTATCCAGACAGCTAAGCTAACCAAGGTAGCTTGAACCCTCAGCACTGCTTCTCTGGATCACGGGGGATTTTCTGTGAGATTCATGTACTATATAACAAAGCGGTGAAAGAAAGGAAAAAACCATCCTTTCCACAGCTCTAACTTGGACTACCTCCAGGATCCCATAGCAGCAGGCAGATGTCAGCACCTCTTTTGGTCATTGTACAGAAAGCTAGGGTCAAAAATCCTCCTTGAACTGTGTGAGAATGTCAGACCCTCTTGCCAATGTTTTGCAGCAGTGCAGCCCCAGGC